TGATCCATGCTGGGTCTTGAGTTTGAGGGAGAATTGAACAGCATTGATTTGAAAATAAATAGGGAATTACAAAATTTAAAATATCTTTGCTAACCTGCAGCCAGGGAAATAAGGCAATATTTAAAGAATTAAGTTTACACAGATGTGAAGTAACAATCTTTAATGTGTATCTTAGAAATTAGAAAACAAAACCACTACCAACATGAAGAACAACAAAAGGGAAGGAAACTTGTGGAGATTAAAGCTCCCACTAACGTATAACATACTTAGTTGTTGTTTTTTTTTTCTTCTCTGTGAAAAAAACAGATGATAAAGGATGCAGAGCTAGCTTGTGATCACGCTCATTACTATCTTGTTATCAAAGCAAGAACCAGATGGTATGACCTGGTAAGGGTAAGAAGAATGTTTTCTTTAAATAAATAAGCAGCACTAATAGATTTCAGAACATCATGCAATGTTGATCTTCAGATTCTATAAATATTCAAAGAGACCCGTGCAAAATAGCTCAGTAATGATGAAAACTTACTCTGTAATTAAAAAGAAATCCACTGTCTGAATAATATGCATTTTTTGTAATGTTCATTACGTAGTAGGTGCTACTATGGTTATTTCTAAAACTTTCTTCATGTTCTACTGTTAATTTTATTTAATGTTTCCATTGTAAGAGGGTTAATGGGCTACACCTGAGGCCTGACCACTGAGGCTGTGCACAAACACAGCTTTCTCCTCTGCTGACACTCCGTGCTTCCCATCACAGTTTTCAGTCACAGATGTCCCTTCTCATTGCAGGGGATTGGACTAAATTGCTTTTGAAGGTCCCTTCCAACCCAAAGTATTCTATTATTCTATTATTTTCTGTTTCTTTCTCAATTCCCATTATTTATTCATCTTGCAGAGAGATCAGACATTTTGTCAAACTTGTTGGTTCTTGTTAGTGATGATTTCTTTTGCATTAAAGAATTTTCAAGAGTTTGACAGTGAAGAAAATGGCATTATACAGCCAAGGGACTTGAAGAAGTTCTCATTCCCATTTGGCATTCCAGTCACCCTGTAAGGATTGAAGCAGCTTTGGGCAAGGTATAACAACTCTAAATGATTAGGTCTTGCAATAATGCATCTTTTATAGGATTACAGAGCCTTTGGTATTGCAGTGAATGACAATAGATTACTCTGTACAAGAAATCTTTTATTTTGTTATGATTGTGACCTCAGTACACAACACTCTGTTACAGGAGGCTATGTCTTATCATACTAAGTTCAGTTAGATCCATCAGTTTCCAATGAATTCAAAGATAGAACTTCCTCTAGGCTTCAGTATTTCTGCTCCCTTTAATTGAACATGCATTTTCTTTTCAGATGGCACTGCAGGTCACTGGTTAAATTAACTTCTTTTCCAGCACTTTTTCTTATACACACAAATACCCAGCTCAGTGTGTGCAGGGTTAAAGTCAATGCCAGATATCTCAGGTCAGGTGGGAACTGCAAACACAGCTTCCATGCAGGAGTCTGTGGACAGTTCACACTGCACACCTGGGTGAAGGCACAACCTCTTCAGAGCACTGCATTTACTCGCAATATTTTCAACCTAAATAAAAGCAACACAGTCAAAAGAAAAATGCCACCTACTGAATACTCAGCAAAAGAAAGCAAGGCAGTTTCATGCTGTGTAAAGATTTCAAGAAATATCGTGAAATGTTTTTATAGGCAGATAATTTGTTGTGAAGTGGGGGGGGAGCTTGTCTGCCTTGAACAAAGAGGAGCTGTGCTATAAACTGTATTTGCAGTGGGATAGATGTCAGCTGTATGTGACATTATATAAAAAGCTACCTTCATTACAGCTCTATTTTGAAAAGTAATCACTCTAATATATAGAATCTCAGTGTATTGCATTTTAGTTACAAACTGCATTAACTGTATCGATTTTTCTTAGCATTGATTCATTTATGAACTATTTTCTACTCCATTAGATTTTACTTCCCATTCTTATTCCTTTTTCCTATGGCACGTTGAAGAGTGTCCTTTTCATGCAGTTATCTGCTGCATAACTTCACTCCCATCAGCCACTCCTTTTAGAGAATAGCTAAAATCTCTTACGTGCCTGATATGTCTGCAACTTGAATAAAGGAACTAGAGTGAAGCTGAAGCTAAATTAGGCATTGCCATGCATCAGAGCACTGGCAGGGAGAGAAACTCCAGAGGAAACAGACTATGGAAGGATTTATACCTAAGAAAATATGAAAAGTGTTTATGAAGCTAAACCTATGTTTCTGAAGGATTACAACTCTGAGCATCTTGTGTGACCACTTTGAGACACTTGAGAATGGATTTTTTGGAGATCTGCATCTCAAACCAGACTGAAAGACTGCAGCACTGAGAGTTGGAGAATACTCCCAGCAATTTGCTCCTCAGGGTAGTATTTTTAGAAGAGACTCTGTGATTACAATGCATAAGCCCCATCTTTTGAGCCTCATGTGAAGTCACTCATTCATTTTCAGTGTGGTATGGCACCTCTGTAAGGAAGGGAAGTCAGTGAGAGCTAAGCTGTTAAGTCAGTTAAGGACATCTGTAATGCCTTTCTATGGGGAACACATGAATATTTAAAAAGAGCATTTCTTTTTCAAGGTATGATACAGATGAAAAGGGATAACTAACTCACCAAGAATTTTTAAGAAACTGGGGATAGAGTTTCCATCCACTGACACAGGCTCAGCCAACACATCATGGATGACAGCCATGCACATTTACAAGCATTAATTTTGTTTATTATTAGAATAATAAACAAAAGAAGCATTCAAAACTGAAAGATCAGCAGGGAAGAGCAGAAAATAAAGCTCTGCATTAAAAGAAATTACAAATCAGACCAAGTAACTTATTTATGAGCTTAGCATTTAACTCTCAGTGTTTGTGTTTAGTTTGTCAAGATGTCACTGTGAGCAATACAAACACAATGTTACTAAAATAAAAAGGCTCTGAAAAGCCTTTGGAAGATGCTGGACCAAGCTGATCCATAGTACTATTCCCTTGATTTGCTGGAGATGAGCCTAGCTAGTGTGCACTGCTCTTTCACAGATATTCTCCATGGGTTGTATCTTTACTACACAGACCTTGTGGCAGCATCTCTACTGGCAAAGCACAAAGTCCAGAGACATTCCCAGACTGGTGCTGGGCTGCCACACCTTTCACTTGTGACAGCTCATGTCCCCCAAGCCCTGCTTGGGAGCAAGACTGCCCCAAGGACAGCTCCTCCTGGGCACTTTGGAGGCAGCTGCTCCCTTTGGGGGGTTGAGAAGGTGTCATAGGAAGGGGACCAGGACACCAGATGGTTCATCACAGGTCCATTTTATTGAAGAAAGTATCAAACACTTATACAGCAAATAATAAGCTTATGAATATTCTGTAAGCCAAGCAATCTATTGGTTAAACTATACCATGAACTCTTCCTCATTCCTTAGGGGTTACGTCTCTCTTTTCTCATGTCGCTTTCACTGTTTGTTATCCTACTACAGCTAGGCCCAAGGACACACTATCTTTGCAGGTACAGGAGTTGGAATTAGCCACGGTTTTGTACTTTTCCAGTCTTTAGCCAGCCAAACTCCCAACAAGAAGGTTCCCTGGCAGAGATGTGCCAGGTGTCCCCTGTGCCTGGGCCACTCTCTGGCCTCTTGATTGCTACCAGCTCGTGGTTCCAGCCCCAGCACTGCTGTCAGCTCAGGCTGAAGGAGAAGAACAAGGGCAGGTTGTCCCCACCAGTCTGCTTTGGACAACCTTGGCTTGGACCTGGTTTTGCTCACCAGGGGCTTTCCTTGCAGCTGGGCTGGCTGGGTGTGTAGGATGCTGTGGTCCTGTCTCACTCCGTGTCCCTTGGATGAGGGATGGGTGACAATCACACTCAGCTTCACATACCTCTAGCAGCTCCTTAAACTGCTAGGAAATGGCTCTGGAGTGCAGCAAAACCAGCCTTGACAAGGACGGACCCTGGTTCCATGTGACAGAAACAAGCACCTCGTGTGCGAGTCTCTGTCTGAAACAAAATCAACACTCACAGTTGGGAGGTCACTGCTCCTGAGAAGAGCATTTGACAGACAAATGACAAAATGATCTCCTGCTTGCAGTGAAGCCTAATGACCCGTGCCTGCCCCAGAGAGTCAGCAGTGATCAGCCTGCTGCTCCTGCTCCTCTAAGGTCCCTGCACCTGCCAGCAGACTGAGGCAGCAGGAGAATCCTCTGCCCCACCACAGTGCTGTAAAAACTTCATATTTCTGTGGATAAACACTACCTGGATGCTTACCGTGTTTCTTGCTTGTGCTTTCACTCTTCTCCTGAAATGTATTATATTTTTTATTTATTATTTAGGAGTATAGACCCTTAGGAACAAAACCCATGTAAAAATATATCCCCAGGAGCACAGACTTGCTTTCTTTTGTACTTGGAAAGGGTCTGGAAGTTCTAGAAACTAATAAATTATTGTTTATAGGAAAGATAATTCCCGATGACATTGTTGGCAAAGTTGATATACTCATAAACAGAGAAGAGCAGCCTTGTCTTGCACATAAAGAGGCAGCTTGGGAAATCAGCTCAAAACTGCCCCACAAAAGACACAGAAGCCTGTAAGATAAGGCTTTTGCCTTTTCCCCCTGCTTTTTAAAATTCTGTTTCTCAGTATCCCAAATAGCCTGAAAGAATAAGAGCAAAACTGAGCTTTTTTTTTTCAGCATCACGTCTCTCCCACCTGCATTGCAGCTCTCTGGCATAAACTGCACTTATGACACCCGCAGGTATCAACAAGAGTTCCACCTGTAAAGAATTGTATAATATAAAGCAGAGATGGTGAGGCAGCTGCTGAGTTGCAGGCATTGTTTATTATTGTATTTGATGTGAAACTGTCTCATGCTGGGCTTTTCCACTCCATTCTTTGTACCAGCTCTTATTATCAGTTATCTCTAGTCCGACGTGGATGAAGAGCTCTTCTGGTCAGGAACCTTCTATTTCTTTCCTGTTAGTGCAATGCCAAGTGCAAGGCAGCCCTGCCTCCAATGCTATAAATAAGAAGCAGCTCTGCAAGTCAGGAAGATGCTGTGTGCTGCAAGCAGAAATTATACAGTGTGGCTCAAAGATGCAAAATACTCCTGAAGCAGCTGGAGAGTAATTAAATCAATGGAGAAGACATGCCAGGTAAAAATGAAATAGTCTTGATGTGTGATGCTGGCAGGTTTGCATCCTTCAGAGTTATTTACTGTTGTGAACCTACTGTAACAACAACCATGGTCAGAACTGCCACCACACTCACAGATACACATTGCTTAACCTTTATTTGGGAAACAGAAATTGGAGACTGGGGCACACAGACCTGGATGCAGTTATGTGCTAGCAGCTGGAGCCAGATGCTCCTGGCTGAGGTAGAGCAGCATTCTAATAAATGGACATGGAATATTCTGACCCCTGCACTGGGGGCTCCCTCATCCTGAGTGCTGACAGTTTGCAGAAGGGACTTTTATAACCCTTTCCAAAATTGCATTCTAATTATTTATTAGATTCTGCTTTTCTTGATTTTTCTATATAGGATGCCCAGTTCTGATTTTAATACTTTGAAATTTGTCATCTGCAGCTTTGTCTGGGAACAAGTTCACTGTTTAATCACTCATGGTCTGCAAAAGTAAGTCCTGTTGTTGATTATCACCACCTTTCATTTTTGCTGTATGTTCTCTTTTTGCCTCCCACTCTTCCTCACCCACCTCCTGGGTAGTGGCAGCAGTCCTGTGCCAGCAGTGCCTGTCTGGTTTTCTCTCTTGGATATCTGATGTGCAAGAGAAGTTGAATCCAGACCTCTGAACTTCTCAGATTTCATGTAAGGGCATGGAAAGCCATAAATTACTCCAGAGCTGGAGTCCCTGCGCAGTGGATGAAAACATCCATGTGTGTGGAGGCTGTGAAGGCAGGAGTCCAGCCCAGTGTCGCTCAGAAAGCTGAGCTGTGAGGAGCAGAGGTGGGGATTGTCCCTCTGACTCTAAGGTGGGTGTGAGGAGATTGGCTCTCGGTCAGCAAGACTGAAGAAGGGGCTGCAAAACCAAGCCAGGGTGTTCCCATGGGCCTCAGCCCCCACTTCCCTCTCAGTGTTTGGGAAACTGATCCCTTTCACCTTCCCCATTCAGAGAGGGAGGAGATCTTTGCCTGCAGAGTGGATTTGCTGTTTAAGGTCCCACTTCAGCACCACTGGGAGCAGCACCCGCTCCCCCTTCCGTGACCTTGCCCAAGCCCTGGCGTTTTCCCTGCCCAGTGTCTGTCCCCAGCCTCTGTCCTTCTTCTGCCCTCCTGCAAGGGCTGTGATCCTCACCCCACAGCTTTGGAGCATTTCAGGGCCCTGTGATTGCACACTGTGAGGCAGACAAAAGCTCTGGGCATGTTACAATTCAAAACATACTGCCTTGCACTTTTCTTTTTTTTTTCCTTTTGCTTTTGGAACAAATTGCCCAAATTAGAAACAGACATTGAACAGTGTGCAGTGGCTCTGCAGATCTTCAAGAAAAAATACGAAACATTTGCAAGAAAATATTATTTTTTTGGCATTGCAGCTTGATCTATGGTTTTAATCCTCATTTTCCCCATGTAGATATTTATTGCTGTGAGTGGAATAATTACCACCTGGAAATCTTTTATTAGACCAAAAAATGTTGGATGCTTCAATTTTCCAAAAATATGAATCTCAAAATCTCAGCCTCTATTTTCATTGGGACTATTCTGTGAAGATTTAAGTGGAAGATGACAGCAGTGATGAAGAGTGGCGCTGAAAGTAAATATAGTTGAAAAAGGGTTGCTGTATTTTCCTGCAATGAGGGTCCAGCGTGGACCATATCAACCCTTCAAAGCCCACCCCTGCAAGATGGAAGGGGCTGTGCTGAGCAGACTTTGTGGCTGGCAGAGATCAGTGTCTGGCTGAAATCACAAGTTGTCCTTAGGGTGGTCAGCTGGCTTTGGATTTTAAGCTGCTGTCCTGCTTCCTTGCTGTGACTCTCCTGGCCTCTTGCTGGGCCTCAGTCCCCATCTTCCTCCACCACCACCCCATTGCTGTAAAGCTCTAAAAAAGCAAACCCTCCTCTGACAGGAGATCTTGGACTGTTTCTCTGCTGGAAAGTCTGCAGGCTTCTGAACATAATAAAAGTTGAAATCTAGAGATGTAATTAGCAGTGTTGGCTCTCCAGGGTCGGGTATCTACGAGGAGGCTGAGTTGGGGCTGGTTAGTCAGTAATTGGAACATGGAAACTGGGGAGGGCAAAGCCAGCAGGAGGGCACTGCGAGCGCACCCTGACTGCTGGGCACCCTCTGCAGAGCTCCTCCACACTCTTCCCAACATGAGGCTCGCTGTGAGTGTAAGCCCAGTGCCACATGGCATCAGCAGCAGGATGTGAAAGAGAGGAAGGAATTAAGCAGAAAAAGAGAGATTTGAAAGTGAGAGAAAAAGTCATAGCTCTTCGGGGTCTTTTAGAGCCTCTAAATCACACAGGCATTATTGCAGTTTCCTTGGAAAGCCTCACGTCACGCCTTGGAACTTATATCCAGTGCCCAGATTAATCATAAGGAAGCTCACAACTATTTTCTGGAATATTGCAGGAGTAGGAGCTATCAAAGTTTTTAATGGCATGAAACCAAGCCAGGGTGAGAGGGCAATCCATGCAGTTACAGAAAGTAAGTTGGAGGAATATTGCACTCACAAGGAAACTTGAACTTTTGAAAGACACAGGTTTCATATAAGAATGCAGAGGGAGGAATCCTTTGAAGAATTTTTGGCTGATCTTAAAATAACAGATCAGTCAAGTAGCTATGACATTTCAGAGATTCCATTTTAAAGGATCAAATCAAAGATCCAAAGATACAGAAAAGATCCCAGAAAAGTAGGATTAAAAATAAAAAAAGGCATGCTAGAAAAATCTGTTTAGTCCAGCTAGGACAGTTGTTAGGGGGCAATATGGAAATACTAGAAGGGGAGAAGGACATGCTCTCTGTCAGAAAAGGAAACAAGAAAAATTTAAAGATTCTTAGAGCTATCTGCAAATCACCGAATTGATATATGTGAAAATTATAGATTCACATTATGTTCAGGAGTTTAGAAACTCTGCAGCAGCTATAGTTATTATATAGCTATATTATATACAGTTATTTTGCAGGACCTTGCAACTGAAAAAGCAGAGGCAAAAGAGAATACCCTCCATATCCCCAGATCTATGTGATGGTGCACAAGCATGCCATACAACAAAATATCACAAAGAAATGCTGTGCACAAGCTTCAAAAGTGGGCTGCAGACTAAGAATAAACAACCTTTAAATTAAAAAGTGGTGCTCAGTCACTGCTACCTCCAAACACACTGCAAAATATCTGGCCCAGGAATCTCTCCATGTAGAGGAAAGACTATTGAAACTGAGGGTGTCTAGTAAGAATCTGATTTGTATCAAAGAATTGAATGCTCTTAATTTGAAAACGATAAACAGGGTAGTTTAAATTTATAGGCAGAAAGAGTTTGGTTTTTAAAATATGTCTATCCCTGGGCCTGGTTAAAGCATTGAGCTGAGGAGGATCCATAAACACAGGTGATCAGCTCTTAGAAATCTTTTGTGTCAGAGAAAAAGGAGACCCAGAAAGCAGAGCTGAATCTTCAGAACAGTGTGTGCTGCTGGGAGCATTCCTCTGGTTGTGAGAGAGAAGCTCCTAAAGGAGCTGCATTCTTTGGCATTAATGGTGGGAAGTTTGAAAATGAGCTAGTGAGCAACAGCAAGATGAAAAGAGAGGTGACTGAGATTGTTCTGGGGACCCAGTATCTGTTTCAGGGCAGCCACTGTCCTGTAAAGGATGTTTTCAGGTAAAAGGGCTGCACACCTTTTTACAAATACCAGTAAATATTTTACAAAAATCAAAAATCCAACTTGTTCTGCTGGATCTAAGCAAACTTCCTTGTGTCTGCCAAGGTGTTTAACGCCTTGCAAGTTTTGACCCCTGGACAGGAGGTTTTTCTTTCAAAGACTTCCTTGAGGCTTGAAGTTCATTCTTGAGTTTTCACAGGGAGAGCCAATCACTTGAAGTGTCCTGATTAAACTGGAGATGTTGAGTAAAGAGAAAACCAGTAAGGAATCTGAAAATCATCTGAGAGCCTGAGAATGTCATTAGACAAAAATGCAACTGTAAGGGAGGAGAAATATCATAAAAGATGAACTGTCAACAATACAAGCCCGAGAAATTACAAAAATGCCACCCACAAGGATAACAAAGGTGTGCAGAGCCACTTTGCACAGGAATGTTACATGAGAGTTCATTTCACACAGGAAATCTGTGCAAGTAGCTTTTGGTTTAGTACACAAAATGGACTTACAGAGCTGTAAATGTGGGAAACAAGTGCTCAAATTAAAAGCATTAATAAATACTACCCCTGGCCTTACATATATTGGCACTAGAAGACATTTAAAGTCTTCAAAAGATGGCTTACAGGCAGTATTATTAAAAAAAAAAAAGGAATTGTGTGGCCTGTGTTTCTAGGACACCTGTCAAAACCAGGACTGGGGCACAGACAGAGAGCAAAGCTCTGGCTCTCACTAATGCGGAATATTTCTAGAATCAGCAGAGCTCTGGCTCTGCTCTCTGGTTGTAAGGAATGTCACATATTTGCTAATCCACCTGTATGGTCAGAGCTGAGACAAACCACTCTGCAGGCAAAGGAAAGACCAGCTTCCAGAATGTGAAAATAGTGTGACTTTTAGTGGTTTGGGGATTTTTTTAGGTAAAACCATTCAGTCTTCTAATATAGTTAAGGTTGGAGAAAAACCCACTGATCGAAGATACTTTACAGAGCATTCAAGGAATCTCCAGATATTTTGAATACAACACTGAGCTGAGCCAAAACTGTTAAAATACAGTTCAAGCAAGCTGTGAAGCTGAGAAATAATGTATACTTTTCAGCTGAACTTGAGAAAAATGTTGAAAAAAATGTTTTCTTGCCAGTGAAACTTGGTTAAGGAGAGAGTTAGTCCACGTAACAGTGAAAGGTACAGTGGATCTGAAGCACGTAATGAATAAACTGCTAACAACCCACCTAAGTCCTATCATAATTCTGACTTTTCAAAGGTGGGTGATTCCTTACACAATGTTGTTTCCTGGACCTTGAGGGCTATGGGAAAATTGCTCTTTGTTCCTGTGAACCACAAACTCCAAAAGTTTGGATTCTTAGGAGAAAAACTAGGCAAGGAAAATGCATTGTCCTTGTAAAGGCTAGACTGAACTTAGAGCTTCTTGAAAACAAATAGAAAACCAAGGAATCTGCAAAGCTGAGAGGAAAACAGCTGAGAACAAATTGCAGAGAGGCTTTTAATTGAGTCAACATGCAGAGAATCACATTGCTTGAGTTTCCAAATATGATCCAAGTCCCTGATGTCAGTGAAATGTAAGTGACAAAATGAAGGGGGAGAAAAAGTCAAGACTTTGAGGCTTGAATTCAATTATGTGCAAGAAGTGAAAGGACTGAAGGTCCTGATCTGAAGTCCAGCACATGGACATGGATCAGGCCTTGTTCTGCTCCAGGTGGTGGTCAGGTCCAGCAGGTTTTGTTGAAGTTGTCTTGCTGTGTTAGAGTTTCAGGAGCCTCAAACATTTTAGAGTTATGGTGCCAAACCCTTGTAATTTTAATGGCTGTAGTAGTAATAAACATTTTGTAACTCTGATCAGGACAGGCTTTAAAAGAGAGAACTGTGTTTTGCATCTGCAGCTCTGAATGGCGAGAGGAACCAGTTCTTTTCCCAAGTAACATTTTTTATAACAAGAGGCCCGAGCCATACAATTCCACATACAAATTAAATGGAGGGCATCTTGGATTTAAAGTCTATTTCTGACCAATTGAATAAATAATATGAAGTTACCACACCTAGATAAAAGCTCAAAATCTTTCCCTGCTCCTCCACCCCTGTTCTGTGTCTTTGTTTGTATCCTTTTAGCCCATGTAACAAAGGAGCTAAAATAAACTTCTGCTGTCTTTCAGGGGTAAATTCAGGGATTACCTCCAAGATTTCAATAATGCCTTCCATAAAGGATAAAAATAGAGATGGCTATGTAAAAATGTGTGGCCTGCACAAGACATTACAAGAATTCAAGCCTTATCTTGATGATAATGATTTCAGCAGTTTTCTAAACAGGTTTGTATGATTATCTCCTTAGGACCTCTTTGTTCACACCCACCGAAGCCTATAAACTTCTACTGAGTGTTCAGTAAATGGAAAAACTCTGTTAAAGCTAACGGAGATACCCACAGGTTTAAAACTGCAGATGTGTGAAAAATATTTTTGCATAATGAATTGATTTTGCAGGCAAAAAAAGTTAAATGGCCTCTTACTTTTTTTTTTTTAAGTGTTCTTTGAGTATGTGCATTTCTTTGCTAGATTGTTTCAATTTTTTCATTTTAGTTTAACTGAGCAAGGGTGTGCAACATCTTGTTCAAAATGGAAGCACAATTAAATCAGGCTATAAGATAACATTAGCTTTCAAATGATTCAGTGCTGCTGCCACGACAAGCTATCCTTTTCATTCTCTGTATTAATATGAGAAAGAAGAAAAATCTCTATTGTAGAAGCTGAAGAACACAAAGGACCTGGTCCAGCATTGGGTACTGCAGTTCTCTGCACCAAGCCAGCCCCCAGAGGTCACATGCCTGGCAGCGCTAGGTTTTGTTCTCCAGTGCCTGCCACACAAGACTCATTTCTGAAATAAAATTAACAAAGTCTTTTCACAGTTCACCTTTAATTGGGTGATCAACTTTTTATGAATTGAAACCTTAATAGGAATCTGCTGCTTGTTTCTTTCTCAAAGACCTCTTGATGATAAACACCTCCATTCATTGTAATTTTGTGCAGATTATTCCTTTCTTGATCCAAAATAGTCTTTTCTAAATAATACAGAGTAGATTAGCATATGCATTTAGTTTTATTACTAAAATTTTAATGCCCACTTGGCAATTTATTTCTCCACTGAAATGGTGTTGATTATTTCCTTTTCCACACACTATCTCCAATATTGGAGCCAGCTTGACACGGGTAGTATGTGGGAGTGCTGTGCAGCTGCAAGATGCAAAATCAGGGCTCTTGAATTTTTTTTTTTTCTTACTGACAGATATGGGGTCTATAGTTAATTTCTTTTCCAGCCTGTTTTATAAAGCTTCCTCTTTGTTTTACTGGCTCTCCCCATTAATTAGACATTCTTGTAACTGGATATTCTGGTGATTGGTAGCTGAGGCATTGGGCCCTGCTGATTTACTGTGGAAACAGATGATAAAAGTGTGTTACAGTAATTCATTTTTAAACCAGAAAATCGGGGTTGTGTGGTGGGGCCATCTCCTCCGTCAAACCTTGACTCTCTAGGACTTGCCATGGTCATAATTCTAACAAAAAAGCTGAGTGTGAGACTGAAAATAAAATGCAGGCTTTCCCCTGCAGCATAGGACTTGTCTGCCTAACACATGTGTCTGAAGAACCCATAGTTCTGATGGTTTGCTATAAAATTATTAAAGTCTTTTATAAACCTCTCCAAAGATGGTAACTCTAACATCAGTCTGGAATAGTTCCATGGCAGCCAGTGGACCTGTATCAAACATGCTGGGTGTAAATTGTATTCTGGAGACTCTCTGGTGATCTTTTAAAAGCAGGAAAATCCACAGTTCTGCTTCTAAGAGCAGAAATTCCAATTCTGGCTACACTGGCTTAATACAGGGCAAACAAGGGCAGAGCAAGTCCCTGCTCCTGTATCCATTGTGGTGATGAGCTCTACAAGCTCATTGGGCTTGTTTGGAGTCCTTGTTTAAAATATATCAGGTGCCTTCTCATTAAGAAACCCCAAGTCACAGAACATCGAAAATAGCTTTTCATGTAGTGGTCAGTGCTATTCATCTTGTCTTAATTTTTCATGCTAAATCACTTTTATAGTCACATATTTTATGTATAAGTGAAGCTTGCCTGAATTACAGTCCTTCTATAGTAAAATATGCAAATAAAAATTTAGTTTGGTAACAAAGTCCTCTGCAAAAAAAAAAAAAAAATTCCCAATCATATGCAAGATCTCATGATTCCCCTTGCTGATATCTGATGCAAAAATATATTCAGTGTTGTTACCTGGAGCTATCTGCAGTCAGCTCTGTGTCCCACTCCATTTCCAGTGTGACAGAACACAGAATTCTCCAGTGCCTCCGATCCAGCAGATGTTCCAGGTGACAGACAGAAATTTGGGAAGTTCTGAGTGCAGCCTGCAGAGCCCATGGGCAGGATTCCCATGTAGGGGATGGGCTCCCAGATATGGGATGGGCTCCCAGGTTTGGGATGGGCTCCCATGTAGGGGATGGGCTCCCAGATATGGGATGGGCTCGCATGTAAGGGATGGGCTCCCGTGTAGGGGATGGGCTCCCAGGTTTGGGATGGGCCCCAGGTAAGGGATGCGCTCCCATGTAGGGGATGGGCTCCCAGATATGGGATGGGCTCCCATGTAGGGGATGGGCTCCCATGTA